GTGACAGTGAATGCGTTGGTGCACAATGCGCGTATCGCGGATGCTGAGGGTGGTTCGGGGTCGACTGGTTTCCTGTCGTCGGTATCGCTATCGGGTGATGTACTCTGCGGGAAAGTGAAAACGATCGCGCAGTACGATGAGGCTGCCTCCGTCTCTGGTGCAATGAAGGTTTGTTTTTAAAAATTCTTCATTCGACTTCTTCAGTTTTTCGTTGTTTAGTTTTTCTCTCATTGTTTTTCATTCATCTGGCGAATTGCTTATGAAGTGTTTTTTCGTTCCAATTTTGAGATGACTGACAAATTTTACGACAGATCGTTAGAAGTATTTTCAAGTTTAGTTCAGAAAACGTAATTTCTGTGCGCTTTAATTTTTGTGTCTGGGAAGAAGCCTTCTTTTCGAGCACATTTTTTGAGTGATTTTCATGGCGCAGGCATCAATTCTTTTAAAACATCTCGAACTTTTGACAATGTAACAGAAATTTAGGGTATACAATTAAGAGTGATTTTAAGGTATTACGTTCGATGGTACAAGAATGTGCGAAAGATATTCATCTGAGTTCAAATGCAATCGCCGATCAACTTATCGTTAATATATATCGGTTCGGAGCTCATCGTTTCTTTGCAGTGTCATTTTTTCTCTTTGCAATTTTATTGGGTCCAATTTGACATTTGTAAAGATTGATTTAGGATAAAGAAGTAAAATTTCGAGTGAATAATCACTGATTCTTTGAGAATATAAAAGATTTTGCTCATTGTTAGATGGATTCATTCGCCACGAGCGCTTCTCTATGAACCAGCAATCGCGCGTGCCGTCGATATTTTAGTGACAAAATTGTGTTTGTTACTCGTTGCTGAGGTTTGTTGACCATTGTGATTGTTTATTTTTACTGAAGTTATCATCGGTGTGATCATTATTATTGTCAAGTAAATGATAAGGAACATTCATTACTGTGATGTTGTTTTAAACAATTAATCATCTGACGTATGATCGATAGATTTCACTTAATGTTTATTGAAAATTTTTTAAAAATACTTTAATATTAAATAAGTACGAAAAATTTAAATTTGAATTTGTTTTTTTCATTAGTGTAATTATTAATGCTCGCATGACTCATGAATTAGTCGGTCGATCACCAATTTATTTGCTTCAAGCATCGTTTCAAACATGGATGAGAGTATTAAATAATTATGAAGCAAGCATCGAATGGAGGTGATGAAATTATAGATGCTTTCTCAAGAAGACAACCAAAATGGGCAAGAAAAATAAATGGAAAATACATTTCAGATCACTCGTATGGGTGGTGAAGTGTTGCACGCATCGCAAACACGAATGATCATTTGCACGAAACGTGCCAATAAACAACTCGCAACTGCATTCATAACGTCGATGATAAGCACACTCAAACAAAATCCTTTATTTGCTGCTTTGTACATTTCACCGATCCACTTTTGGAATATTCTTTTATGGATGGATATTGTTCGTCTTTTTTTGGAATTCGCTATCCTTTCATTTATTTACTTTTGATTCCTTTGATTTCCGACCATGCAGTTTGCCTACTCTAAGCCTTCCCTGTTCTTCCTCTATCCTTCGCCATTTTGCTAGTTCCTCGTAGCCTTTGAGTTAGTTGGTTGATAGGACTGAAATGATGTAGATAAACTTCTGAAAAAGAGCTTTGAGTATTCAGTTCTATTGTCAACTCTTCTAAATTTTTGATGACCATGCTGAAATGCACTGGTTTCAGATCGCTATTTTAGTTCAGTGCCTTGTTATCTGATGAGTGCAATTTATTTGAATTGTAATTATGCTCACAGTCAATGTGCTTGAACAGCATTCAATATTTATTCTGGGGAAATCACTGTTGTCCAATTGTTTTGAGCAGCAAATTGAATGTTTATCATAGTAGTTATTAATGACATAGGAATTATGAAAAATGTTGTTAAGAGAAAAGATGTTCAATGGCATATATGACGAAAGAAATAGGCTCGAATTGCTTTCTTAAGTGTGTATAAGTCTTTTTTGATCTGTCTACGGTCTCTTCAACCAGCAAATGGGTGATTTTCATCAATATTTGAAGGAGAACTATGCGTGTATTGAATTTGCTGATGTTGGTGACGAAGAGAACGGTAAGGAGGATCGTATAACGTCGAAACTCTCTATCGCGGATTTATTGCCCGAGGAAGCCATGTGCAAGTCGACATTTTCACGAATTCTTCTCGAATATATGCAGACGATTGCCACTAAAATGAAATCTGAGGTGGTGACCACTGCTCAATTCATTGATTAAAACCACCCGAATGCTGTTTAACGAAATCATGAAAATTCATTTGATTTTTCATTGTCATGTCAACAAATGCCATATAAACACGGGAAATATTACAGAAATCGTTACGAGAGAAAATATTTAAATTAATGGCTTAAATATTTGAAAGTCATAAATGAGCTCTTATTGTGTTGTTTTTTTTTTTGGAAACAGACGCAACTTATTTGCAAATTCATGTTTTGGTTCCTTCTCGAAATCGTATATATTCGATTGTTATTCAGTCGTTTGTGGATAGGTGCCTTAAAAACTTTTTTTTTGGAGAAAGAAGTGATGTTTGCTTCGATTTATATTTTTATTTGAAATTGAATCCTCAGAAGCAAAATTCATTTAGGTGTCTGGTGAAGAGTTGGTGGCTTATCGAGAGGACTTAATAAGAAATGAAATTAGTGAACGTTTATTCGCCATATTCAGCAAGTTAGCAATATACAAAAAAGATGTCGCAATGCCCGATAGGACGGCATCACGAGAGACACTCCACGATGCACCTCTGCAACTCGCGAAATGTATTATTCATTTCTTATCATTCGACGAAAAAGTTGCGCAAACCGTTGATAAGGTTAGCTTATGATAGATTCATCCTTTCGATTGGCTTCATTGAGATTTAGACAAAGCTCATACATATTAAAAGAAGGTAAATAAGTCTTATAGGGAAATGCACATAAGACTGAAGTTGAGCAAAATACTCGATATAGTTCAAAGTATATGCCTGAGTCTATTTCAAGTGGACGAGGCTGAATTTCTTTCACATACTTATTTGCTTTTTCCTGTATCGCTAGCAGCACATCATTTATTAATTTATTTGTTCATTTTATTTAATCATCAAATCCAGCTCATTACGACTTTATGCCTCTATTTCATCACCAGTATCACTAATATCATTTTCTTCCTTCTTTGGCATTCTTCTTTCCACGCAATTAACAATAATCAATTTGATCCTCATTCCATAAAAATGGCAGTCATAAATTGATTGAGTAATCCCATAGTTATTCGTTAGTTTTCGACTCTCATTGTCAGCTGTTTCTTCTTTTCATGAATGGTTCACTGGTATTATAAAAACTGTATGTTAACAGCATAAAAATGGTTTGTTCGGAGAAAATATGGAAATTTTCGCAAAAATTCAGTAATATTCAAATTCAGTTGAT